TGTAAAATAGCACCATCTGCATTTTTGAAACATTTTAGATGAATATTACACACGCACACGGTGGCTCATGCCTGTAATCCCTGCACTTTGGGAGGCCAAGGTGGGAGTCCTGGACTCACTTGAGTCCAGGAGTTCAACACCAGCCTGGGCAACATAGCAAGACCCCATCTCTGCCAAAATAAAACATTAGTCAGCCTTGGTGGTGACCACCTGTAGTCCCGGCTACTCAGCGGGCTGAGGCAGAAGGAATGATTGAGCCCGGGAGTTCCATACCAGCCTGGGCAACATTGTGAGGCCTTGTCTCTAGGGAAGATTCAAAACCTTTTCAGTTTTTAAACTAGCTGGGCATGGCCGGGCGCAGTGGCTCAGTCCTCTCATCACAGCACTTGGGGAGGCAGAGGCAGGTGGATCACGAAGTCAGGAGTTCGAGACCAGCCTGGCCAACACGGTGAAATCCCGTCTCTACTAAAAATACAGAACAATTAGCCAGGCGTGGTGGCGGGCGCCTGTAATCCCAGATATTCAGGAGGCTGAGGCAGGAGAATTGCTTGAACCCGGGAGGCGGAGGCTGCAGTGAGCTGAGATCGTGCCATTGCACTCCAGCCTGGGCAACACAGGGAGACTCCCTGTCCAAAAAAATAAATAAATAAATAAATTGCTGAGCATGGCGTTGCATGTTTGTGGTCCCAGCTATTCGGGAGGCTGAGGCAGGAGGATGGGTTGAGCCCAGGGCTTCGAGGCTACAGTGAGCAGTGATTGTGCCACCGCACTCCAGCCTGGGCGGCAGAGTGAGACCCTATGTCTAAAAGAGAAACCTCTGTCTCTGAAAAGGTAATTTAACAAATACAATAAAAAACAGGCATTGTATACGAGGCGGGGTACGCGAGAGACCCCGGCCGTCCGCCGCAGCCATGGGTGTCTAGGTGGTGACGTGTTTCCTGGGCTGGGGTTTCAGGGTCCCATTCATCGGGCCTGCGGCCTCTCCCACGGCAGCTTCCCCGGGGACTGCGGAGGCTGCGGCAGGACCGGCCACCCGGGGCAGGGGCAGGCGGAGTGGCATCGCCCCGGTGTCCAGGCTGGGACAGCCCCCCACACCTCCCTTCTGGGCACCTGCCTGACCTCCCTGGCTCTCCTTCCTTCCTCGCCTAGTGGAGGACAGGGGCGCCATGCTGGTTCCTCCAGGACACCCCGTCCCTCCTCCGGCCGAGACTCCAGGACACCCCCTCCCTCCCTGGCCAACACTCCAGGTCACCCCATCCCTCCTCCAGCTGAGACTCTAGGACACCCCATCTCTTCTCCGGTGGAGACTCCAGGACACCCCGTCCCTCCCCCAGCCAAGACTCCAGGCCATCCGTCCCTCCTCCGGCCAAGACTCCAGGCCACCCGGTCCCTCCTCTGGCCAAGACTCCAGGACACCCGTCCCCACCCCAGCCAAACCTCCAGGCTACCTGTTCCCGCCCCCAGCCACCCCTCCAGGCCACGCCGTCCCTCCCCCCGCCCAGCTTCCTGGCCGTCGCTCGCCCGAGTGGTACTGTTGCACTCCTAGACTTTGTGGCCGACTCTGTCCACAACATCCCGCCCCCACATGGCAGCTGCTGACCGTGTGCAGGCCACGCACGCCCCTCCTGACACCCTTCTGCCAGACCGTGTCCCAAGGTTGCGTGTGTGGGGGTTCCTGCAATGTCCCCGAGGGCTTCATGCTACGCTGCCTTCTGTCCACTGGCCCCTGTCCTCTCTCCGCCTTTCCAGGTGCTCCAGCCTTGCGGGGTGCTCAGCTCCTGCTCTTTCCGGGGAAAAACCAGCCTCGGATCTCAAAGACTTCCACAACCCCCTCCACCCCACAATCCCGCTCTTCCTCCCGGCCCCTTCTGTCCACCGCGCCGAGAACCTTCTAGCCTGTGGGCCTTAAAACCTGGATGACGGGTTGGTGGCTGCAGGAAGCCACCATGCCACGTGCATACCTGTCACACACCTGCACGTTCTGGACGTGTGTCCCAGAACTTACCGTAAAACACAAACGAAAACATGCTATACAGCTGGTGTCCAACCGAGTTACACTCACAGGACATAGGCACCAGGAAAATGTGTTTGTTTTTTTTTTCCTGATGGAGTTTCCCTTTTGTTACCCAGGCTGGAGTGCAATGGCGTGATTTCGGCTCACTGCAACCTCCGCCTCCCGGGTTCAAGCGATCCTCCCGCCTCAGTCTCCGATTAGCTGGGATTGCAGGCACCTGCCACCACACCTGGGTACTTTTTGTATTTTTAGTAGAGACAGGGTTTCGCCATGTTGGCCAGGCTGGTCTCGAGCTCATGAGCTCAGGAGATCCACCTGCCTCACCCTCCCAAAGTGCTGGGATGACATATGGGAGCCGCTGAGCCCAGCTGAGATCTGATGGTTTCATAAAGGGCAGTTTCTCTTCGCACGTGCTCTTGCCTGCTGCCATAGAACACGTGCCTTTCCTCTTCCTTGCGTTCCACCATGACCGTGAGGCCGCCCCAGCCATGTGGAGCTGGGAGTCCGTTCAATCTTTCTCTCTCCTTTTTTATTTTTTGTGAGATGGAGTTTCGTTCTTGTTGCCCAGGCTGGAGTGCAGTGGCGCGATCCTGGGTCACTGTAACCTCTGCCTCCCGAATTCAAGCGATTCTGCAGCCTCAACCTCCCGAGTAGCTGGGATTACAGGCTTGTGCCACCACGCCCGGCTCCTTTTGATATTTTCAGTAGAGACAGCATTTCACCATGTTGGCCAGAATGGTCTCGATCTCTTGACCTCATGATCCACCTGCCTCGGCCTTCCACAGTGCCGTGATTACAGGCATAAGACACTAATTTTTTCTTTTTCTTTTTTTTAATTTTTGGTAGAGAAAGGGTTTCACCATGTTGATCAGGCTGGTCTTGAACTCCTGACCTGCTGATCTGCCTGCCTCAGCCTCCCAAAGTGCTGGGATTGCAGGCGTGAGCCGCTGCACCCAGCTAAAGTTTCCTTTCTTTATAAATGATGCAGTCTTGCGTATGTGTTTATCAACACCAGGAAAACGGACTGATAGGCTTCCGAGCCACGAGTGTGTCTTCTTTTGAAGCGTGTGTGTTCGTGACATTTGGAAAAGGCTCCCCTCCGTCATGACCGTGTTCTCAGCCCTGCTCAGTTCCTAAGGCAATCGCCTTAACTCAGATCCGTGCGAAATCCCACAGCAGCAGGAGAGGATTTCACCTCCTGAGTCGCTGTGGGGTTCCATTAAACAAATGTGATCGGAGGCCAGCCCCTTCTGTCCCCTGGTAAAGTGTCCCTGACAATGCTTCATTGCCCTAAACTTCAAGGATAGGCTAATTTATTATTTATTTTTATTTATTATTTAGTTATTTTGGAGACAGAGTCTCGCTCTGTCGCCCAGGCTGGAGTGCAGTGGTGAGATCTCAGCTCACTGCAACCTCTGCCTCCCGGGTTCAAATGATTCTCCTGCTTCAGCCTCCCAAGTAGCTGGGATTACAGGCGCCCGCCACCACGCTGGCTAATTTTTGTATGTTTAGTACAGACGGAGTTTCGCCCTGTTGACCAGGTTGGTCTCGATCTCCTGACCTCAAGTGATCCTCCTGCCTCGGCCTCCCGAAGTGCTGGGATTACAGATGTGAGCCACCACGCCCAGCTAATTTTTTGCACTGGTGAGATCTCTGCTCACCGCAACCTCGGTCTCCCGGGTTCAAAAGACTCTCCTGCCTCAGCCTCCCGAGTACCTCGGATTACCAGCGCCTGCCACCATGTCCGGCTAATTTTTGTATTTTTAGTAGAGATGGGGTTTCACCATGTTGGCCAGGCTGGTCTCGAACTCCTGATTTCAACTGATCCACCCGCCTCGGCCTCCCAAAGTGCTGGGATTGCAGACACATGCCACCTCATCCGGGTAATTTTTGTACTTTTAGTAGAGACAGTGTTACGCTGTGTTGACCAGGCTGGTCTCGAACTCCTGACCTCAGGTGATCCGCCCACCTCAGCCTCTTACATTGCTGGGATTACAGGCTTGAGCCACCGTGCCCGGCCAAGCCTGTATTTATATCCCTCCCCTAGAAAATCGCTCTGGGTATGTTATGTTCCACTTTCTACCCAACCACAAAACAAACAGGCATTCAAGAATGGAGTTGAGCTCATGCTATGAACGTTTTCTTCGCCCCCCACACACGCCACGTGTCCTCAGAAATGGGGCAGAGACCTGCCACTATTAGCCAGGTGCGGGGGCTCCCACCTGTAATCCCAGCACCAGGGGAGGACGAGGCGGATGAATTACTTGAGGTCAGGAGTTTGAGACCAGTCTGAGCAACATGGTGAAACCCCGTCTCTACTAAAAACCTAAAACTTAGTGGGGCATGGTAGTGCATGCCTGTCATCCCAGCTACTTGGGAGGCTGAGACAGGAGAATTGCTTGAACCCAGGAGGCGGAGGTTGCAGTGAACCGAGATCGTGCCATTGCACTCCAGCCTGGGGTGATGGAGTGAGATTCTGTCTCAAAAACAAACAAAAAAAAATGGGTCTCACTGTGTTTCCCAGGCTGGGCTGCGGACATCTCGATATTAGTCTTCCAGCCTCTGAAAGTGTGGGCGAACCGGGTTTTGAGCCCCCAGTAAGTGGAAATTCCTAGCAGCCCCAGAAATGAACACAGAACCTGTTCCATCCCTAAGACGATTACTTAGGGCTCATGACTGCTGAGCATATTGGTTTGGGATGAGTTCTACACCCGATGACTCAAGGGTTCATAGAGACTATTTAGGGGTGCAGAGAGGTACGCAAGAAGCCAGGGAATTCCCATGCGCTTCTTGAGCCCCTAATAAGCTTAATGGAAATTTCTGGAGTGACCCGTGTTTGTTTCATTAGTGGGAAGCTGACGGGGAGCTTCAGGCGGCAGCCGTGAGCAGGTGGCCGGCAGGCTGCTACCAGCTTGGCCGTAGGCTCCGAGCGCCTGGAAGCCAGCGTTGCAGGGACTCCGGACGCCACGGCTGGATGGCGGAGAACATGAGTTCCCCGGAGGATCCCTGCTATCGCCTCCTCACTGACTACGCAAACGGCTTCATGGTGTCTCAGGTAGGACCTTGCTGCAAATACATGCTGGACCCAGAGGCTCGGTGCTGCAAAGACACATCAGCCCCGAGACAAAGAATCCCTCAGCAACACCATTTTTACGTCCTGGGCTGCAGGGAGGGGACCCTCGCCGGCCACCGAGCCCCGAGAGCGCAATGAACCAAGGAAAACACGCACACGGATCCCTGACGCGTGTGGGGTCGTCCTTCCTGCCGTGTCTCAGCTCCGTGGGCCGCAGCCAGACCTCAGCATCTAAACTCACACCCGACCGGCCGGCACCTGAAAACGTTTCTAAACAGGTGACAGCCACGGAGAGCGGGGACACGCCTGTGAGCACGTCCGGCGCAGGTGTCTCGGGGACAGTCCAGGGACACGGAATGTGCCACGTGCCTGTGAGCACGGCAGGTGTCACAGCTGCAGAGGACGGGGCCGCACAGAGTTATGAGCACACTTATTCTTTAACATGAAAGGACACTTTAGAAAGGGACTTTTGTATTTCACACAGATATGCTCTGTGCGACGTGGAACAGGGGACAGGCTTCCGTTCATCACACTCGCGTTCCGCTATTTGGAGCGTCAATCAAGAAAAATGACGAGTGTCCGTCATGTTAGCAGGTTTATGGGCCCATGTTAAAGGGGTGCGTCCGTCACGCAGCCTCAGGGGGTCCTGACACCATGTGCCCAAGGCGGTGGGGGCATAGCTTGGTTTTATACGCTTTGGGGAGACCTGAGAGATTGTGAGAAGCAGAAAAGTTCCTTTTTAAAGTTTCCTTTCTTCTTGAAGAGGACGTGTGCTCATACCCACCCGCCACCTTTGCCTCGTTTGAACAGCGGCGGCCCTCGGGGCTGCTGACTGCCGGTTCAAAGCCAGCCAGTGGTTCACAGTGGTATTCAGGGCGGTGGTTTGCTGGGTCCTTTTTTTAAAAAAATGTATTAATAATGCTTTAAGTTCTGGGGTCCATGTGCAGAACATACAGGACTGTTACATGGGTATACACGTGCCATGGTGGTTTGCTGCATCCACCCCCTCATCATCTCTGTTAGCTGTTGCTCCTAATGGTCTCCCTCTCCAGTTCCCCCACGCCCTGCTATCCCTCCCCTACCTCTCCCACCCCCGCTATTCCTCCCGTAGGAAATGCCCATCAATGATACACTGGGTAAAGAAAATGTGACACACACACACCATGGAATACTACGCACCCATAAAAAAGGATGAGTTCACATTCTTTGCAGGGACATGGATGAAGCGGAAAACCATCATTCTCAGCAAACTGACACAAGAACAGAAAACCAAATACTGCATGTTCTCACTCATAAGTGTGAGTTGAACAGTGAGAACACACGGACACAGGGAGGGGAGCGTCACACACAGGTGGGACCCAAATCTTGGGAGAAAAGTCACTTCAGTGCACACGATGCCACATCCAGGGAATGGCCACAAGGGTAACAGAACAAGCGTTAATGCGCCCTGAACACAGCAAAACTGAAGACCACCTTAAGAAAATCCATCTTTGTGCACTCGTTACACAAATAATTAGTGAATGCAAGTTTCCTAGACCAGGAGTGAACGCACCCATAAGAAGATACCATTTATTATCTCCGAAAAACAAAAATCGATTGGCTGGGCGCAGTGGCTCATGCCTGTAATCCCAGCACTTTGGGAGGCTGAGGCGGGTGGATCACCTGAGGTCAGGAGTTCGAGACCCGCCTGGCCGATATGGTGAAACCCCGTCTCTCCTAAAAATTCAAAAATGTAGACGGACATGGTGGCAGGCACCTGGAATCCCAGCTACTCGGGAGGCTGAGGCAGGAGAATCGCTTGAACCCGGGAGGCGGAGGTCGCAGTGAGCGGAGATCACACCACTGCACTCCAGCCTGGGTGACAGAGCGAGACTCCATATCAAAAATAAATAAATATATATATAAATAAATAAGGGAACAGTAATAAGTCGGGGTGGGGGTTACTTTTCCTCCGTTCCTGGTCACCTTTCATAAGGGGGGTGACTCCACCTCTCATAAGGGGCGTCTGACGGAGCCGGGTTCCGTCAGCCGACCCACGGCACCACGTCCTGGCAGGTGGAGGCTCTTCCCAAATGGGTCACCGGTTGCCGTGGCAACAGGAGGGATCCCTGATGGAGCCGCGTTGCCCAGATCTCACATCTGTGTGCACAGAGCATGCAAGCCCAGGCAGGCTGCAGGCCTGAGCCTGAGCCACGTTAGGGATCATCACCGTGGTTACGATATTTTTAGGGGCTGGGTAACGTACACACACGCGCAGAGGGATGGTCATTGACTCCCAGTGGGGTTACAGCCCCATAACGCCATCATGGCACAAAACATCCTAACTTAAAACGCGTTCCCTAGCCGGGCGCGGTGGCTCACGTCTGTCATCCCAGCACTTTGGGAGGCCGAGGGGGGCAGATCGCCTGAGGTCGGGAGTTCGAGACCAGCCTGACCAACATAGAGAAACCCCGTCTCTGCTAAAAAAGCAAAATCAGCCGGGCGTGGTGGCACATGCCTGTCATCCCAGCTACTCAGCAGGCTGAGGCAAGAGAACGGCTTGAACCCGGGAGGCAGAGGTTACAGTGAGCCGGTCACACCACTCCACTCCAGCCCGGGTGACACAGCAAAACTCCATCTAATAAAAAGTTAAGTATCTGTAATATCTATTCCATATGTTTTATGTATTCTATACTTACATACTTTATACATGTAAGTTATACATGTATATATACATATATACAAAACATGTCATACATGTCACACATGACATACATGTCATTCACATGCCATATGACGTACATGCCACACATGCAAGGTCACACATGCCATCTACATGTCATACATGTCACATGTCACGTGCCACACATGTTGCCTGTTATTTGTGATATAACATGTCACATATAAACACACCACACAGAATATATGCATGTCACATAACACACATGCTTAACATATATTGTGTTATGTGACATGCATGTCACAGCACATACATGTATGTGACATAACACATGTTATATGTCACATAACATCACATGTGCCATGCATACAGCACATGCCACACATTTCATGTTATCTATAATGTATGTCATACATGTCACGTTACATGTAACATCCATGAGGCACATATCGGGCTACCCATAACATACATGTCATGTATGTTGTGTTGCACATGTATGTGGTACATGTCACATCTCATAACACATACATGTTAATGTTATATGTGTGTTTTGTTACATATAACATTTTACATGTGTTACATATAACATTTTATAAATTGTGTTATATGTAACATGTTATACATGTTACATGTTATAGATGCTATAATGTTATAATTATATAACATTAAAATATAGATTACATTTTATAGAGATTTTTGCAAAATATACATTTTATATATTTTTATACAATATGTGTTTTATGTATATTTTATGTATATTATATATAATATATAACATATGTATTTTATATATTTTATACAATATATATATTGTATTATGTATGTGTAATTTGTATACACATAAACTACGATATATATGTTGCAGTTTAATCTAGAATAAACAAATTTATAAAGACAGAAAGCACAATAGTCACCACCCAAACGCCCATCAAGGATAGATTGGAGAAAGAAAATGTGGTAGATATACATTGTGAAATACCATGCACCCATGAAAAGGAACGAGATCATGTCGTTTGCAAGGACATGGATGGAGCTGGCAGCCACTATCCTCAGCAAATAACACAGGAACAGAAAAGCAAATACCACATGTTCTCGCCGATAAGTGGGAGTTGAAGAATGAGAACACATGGTCACAGGGAGGGGAACGTCACACACTGGACCCGTTTGTGGGGGCAGGAGGTGGGAGACTATCAGAAAAAACAGCTAATACATGCTGGGCTTCATACCTAGGTGATTAATTGATCTGAGTGGCACACCAGCATGGCACACCTTTACAAATGTCACAAACCTGCGCACGCTGTACATGTACCCTGCAGCTTGAAATGAAAATTTAATTGAAATTAAGAGAGTCTGCCGGGTGCTGTGGCTCACGCCCGTAATCCCAGCACTTTGGGAGGCCAAGGCGGGCGGATTACCTGAGGCTGTGAGTTCGAGACTAGCCTGACCAACATAGAGAAACCCCCGGCGAAAATACAAAATCAGCCAGGCGTGGTGGTGCACGTCTGTTATCCCAGCACTTTGGGTGGCTGGGGTGAGTGGATCACCTGAGGTCAGGAGTTCGAGACCCGCCTGGCCAACATGGTGAGAAAGCCCACCTCCACTAAAAATACCCAAATTAGCCAGGCGTGGTGGCGCGTGCCTGTAATCCCAGCTACTCGGGAGGCTGAGGCAAAAGAGTTGCTTGAACCCGGGAGGCGGAGGTTGCGGTGAGCCGAGATCATGCCACTGCACTCCAGCCTGGGAGACAGAGTGAGACTCCATCTCAAAATAAATCCGTAATTTTTAAAAGATGAGTCAAAATAAAAACGCCTGTTTTCCATGGCGGTGTAGTCTCGTTTGACTATGTCTCAAAAATAAATTAATTTAAATTAAAATTGAAAAATGCCTCCCTCCCCAGCCCGACATGGCATGCGTTTCTGCAACTCCGGTTCCCTGAGTGCTGAGTGCTGGGTGCTGAGCTTTTATTTCTGCCCCTTCTGCAAGGTTGTCTTTGCTGCCTGTGAGCTGGGAGTGTTTGACGTTCTCGCAGAGGCCCCGGGGCCCCTGGCCGTGGCTGCCGTGGCTGCAGGTGTGGGAGCCAGCTCCCACGCGATGGAGCGCCTGCTGGACGCCTGCGTGTCCCTGAAGCTGCTGCAGGTGGAGATGAGGGGAGGAGAAGGTGAGGTCACGGGCGTTCTGAAGGAGGCCTCGCAAGTGGGCACCCTGGGTGTCGCACGTGTTCTGTAAACAGCGAGACCAGGCCGGGAGCGGTGGCTCGGGCCTCTGGCCCCAGCCCTTGGGGAGTTCGTGGCGGGCGGGTCACCTGGGGTCCGGAGTTCGAGACCAGCCTGGCCAACACAGGAAATCTCGTCTCTAATTTAAAAAATACAAAAATTGGCCAGGCACGCTGGCTCATACCTGTGATCCCAGCAGTTTCGGGGGTCGACACAGGCGGATCACGAGGTCAGGAGATTGAGGCCATCCTGGTCAACGTGGTGAAACCCCATGTCTACCAAAATACAAAAACAAAACCCAGGCGTGGTGGCCTGAGTCTGTCATCCCAGCTACTTGGAACACTGAGGCAGGGGAATCGCTTGAACTCAGGAGATCGAGACCATCCCGGCCAATATGGTAAAACCCCGTCTCTACTAAAAATACAAAAATTGGCTGGGCATGGTGGTCGGCGCCTGTAATCCCAGCTACTCTGGAGACTGAGGCAGAGAATTGCTTGAACCCGGGAGGCGGAGGTTGCAGTGAGCCGAGATTACACCCGTGCACTCTACCCTGGGCAACAGAGTGAGACTCCGTCTGAAGAAATAAACTATACGAATGTTAACTGGGAGTGGTGGTACACGCCTGTGGTTCCAGCTACCCTCAAGGCTGAGGCAGGAGGATTGCTTGAGCCCAGGAGTTCAAGACCAGCCAGGGCAATGTAGCAAGATCCCATCTCTACAAAAAACACAGAATTAGCCAGGCATGGTGGCATGAACCTGTGGCCCTAATTACTCAGCAAAAGGCAGAGGCAGGAGGATCACCAGAGCCCAGGGGTTCGAGGCTTCAGTGAGCTGTGATCACACCGCTACACTCCAGCCTCAGTAACAGAGTAAAACCCTGTGTCAAAAGAAAAATCAAGAAAAACCGCCACAGACATTATGTGAATGATGGGGTTGGCTACATTTCTTTTTTATTTGTATTTTTTTTTGGTGAGATAAGTTTCAGTGTTCTTGCCCAGGCTGGAGTGCAGTGGCACGATCTCGGCTCACTGCAACCTCTGCCTCCCGGGTTCAAGCGATTTTCCCGCCCCAGAATCTAAAGTAGCTGGGATTACAGGCATGCGCCACCATGCCCGGCTGATTTTTTGTGTTCAGTAGAGACGGGGTTTCTCCATGTTCGCCAGGCTGGTGTGGAACTTCTGACGTCAGGTGTTCTGCCCACCTTGGCCTCCCAAAGTGCTGGGATTACAGGCGTGAGCCACCGTGCCTGGCCCAAACGCATTTTTGACTATTTGACTTCTTTCTGTAGTATCTCTCTTTTTTTTTTTTTTTTTCTTTTTTTTTGAGATGGAGTCTCACTCTGTTGCCCAGGCTGGAGTGCAGTGGTGTGATCTCAGCTCACTGTGCAATCTCCACCTCCTGGATTCAAATGATTCTCCTGCCTCAGCCTCCCGAGTAGCTGACACTACAGGCATGTACCACCATGCCCGGCTAATATTTGTATTTTTAGTAGAGACGGGGTTTCGCCATGTTGGCCAGGCTGGTCTCGAACTCTTGACCTCAAGTGATCTGTCCGCTTGCCCTCCCAAAGGGATGGGATTACAGGTGTGAGCCACCGTGCCTGGGGTCACTAAGTTATTTTAAACATTCTGTGGAGTATAATGTATGTTTTCTCTCATGGCTCATTTCTGTTTGTGCTTGCTCCACCCAAACTTGCAATAGGATTTGTAGACGCTGAAACCAGTGTGGGCACCAGCTGCCCGGGGTCCCCTTTGTGCCTTCCGTGGAAGACCCTGGCTGTGGGTAGGGGTGTCAGCACTCCCAGGTGGGGATTACGTGGAAGTCCCTGTGCTGCCATGCTGGGGAGTGAGTGTCCGCACAGCAGGGACTTGGAATCTCACTGCTTTTTCTGTTTTCTTTGTGTGTGTTTCAGCTTTCTATGGAAACACGGAGATGTCCAGAATCTACCTGAGCAGGGTCAGCCCGACCTCACAGTGCAATATGCTGCTGTACATGGCCAAGACCACTTACCACTGCTGGGGCCGCCTGGCACAGGCTGTGAGGTAGGGATCGTGTCCAGGCAGTGACCGAGTCTCAGGACTCCCCTGGGGGGGGGGCTCGTGAAGGGGCTCATTGCAACCTCCACCTCCTGGATTCAAGAGATTCTCCCGGCCGGGTGCGATGGCTCATGCCTGTAATCCCAAAACTTTGGGAGGCCGAGGCGAGTGGATCACCTGAGGCTGGGAGTTTGAGACCAGCGTGATGAACATGAAGAAAGCCCGTCTCTAGTAAAACTACAAAAATTAGCCAGGCGTGGTGGTGCATGCCTGTAATCCCAGCTACTTGGGAGGCTGAGACAGGAGAATCGCTTGAATCTGAGGGGTGGAGGTTGCCGTGAGCTGAGATCACGCCATTGCACTCCAGCCTCGGCAAAAAGAGCAAAACTCTATCTCAGAAAAAAAAAAAAAAAGAAAGAAAAAGAGAGAGAGATTCTCTCGTCTCGGCCCCCTGAGTAGCTGGGATTACAGGCACCCGCCACCATACCCAGCTAACTTTTGTATTTTTACTAAAGACGGGGTTTTGCCGTGTTGGCCAGGCTGGTCTCGAACTCCTGACCGCAAGTGATCTGCCCGCCTTGGCCTCCCACAGTGCTGGCATTGCAGGTGAGCGCCTGGAGGAGGTAAAATGGCAGGTTTCTTGCAGGAGCAAACATGAGCTTGGTAGAATTGCTTACCCAGACCAGATGGTAGAAATCACTTTGGTGCTGGCTGACAGAGCTCACCCACTTCTGCAGGGATGTGCCCCCAGGCGAAAGTCATTCGTGCTGCTTTGGCAGAAGAAGAAAGGAAGAGAAGGAAGAGGATTCACATCAGGGATTGAGGATTGAGGATTCAGAACAGAGGTGCAGACCAAGAACCTACTGGCTTGAATTGTATTAGGCTGGTGCAAACGTAGTTGAGTTTTTTCCGCCACTGTAATTCCAGCACTTTGGGAGGCTGAGGCGGGTGGATCACCAGAGGTTAGGAGGCTGAGACCAGCCTGGCCAACATAGTGAAACACTGTCTGTACCAAAAACACAAAAATTAGCCTGGCGCGGTGGTGGGCACCTATAATCCCACCTACTTGAACTCATGAGGCAGAGGTTGCAGTGAGCCGAGATCTCAAGATCTCACCACTGCACTCCAGCCTGGGCGACAGGATGAGACTCTGTCTCAAAAACAATGTAATTGCATTTTTTTTTTTTTTTTGGCCCTTAAAAGTAATGGTAGGTCCGGTACAGTGGCTCACACTTGATATCCCAGCACTTCGGGAGGCTGAGGTGGGTGGATTGCCTGAGGTCAGGAGTTCGAGGCCAGCCTGGCCACCATGGTGAAACCCTGTCTCTACTAAAAACACAAAAATTATCGGGGCGTGGTGGCAGATGCCTGTAATCCCAGCTGCTCGAGAGGCTGGGGCAGGAGAATCGCTTGAACCCAGGAGGTGGAGGTTGCAGTGAGCCGAGATGGTACCACTGCACTCCAGCCTGGGAGACAGAGCGAGACTCTGTCTCTACAATAAAATAAAATAAAATAAAATAAAACCTGTCTCATAGGATGTCGATGTTATGGTTTATAAGGGGTGACTGTACAGGCCCCTTAGACAGGAATATGGGGAAGGAAGAAAAAGATCAGACTTCATCTTTAGGTTGAAACAGCCAACCCCATTTTCTCTCTTTTCTTAGAGAAGGCAAGAACCAGTATCTTCAGACCTTCGGCGTTCCCGCAGATGAGCTTTTCTCCGCCATCTACAGGTAACGTCCGTCACTTCAAAACCCACACCTCCGATGAGACTGTGTTAATTTGGCCGGGCGCGGGGTCTCACGCCTGCAAGCCCAGTGCTTTGGGAGGCCGAGGCGGGCGCATCACGTGGTCGGGAGGTCGAGACCAGCCTGGCCAACATGCTGAAACCCCATCTCTACTAAAAACACAAAAATGAGCCGGGCGTGGTGGTGAGCGCCTGTAATCCCAGCTACCCGGGAGGCTCAGGCGCGAGGACCGCTTCGAGATGGGAGTCTGAGGTTGCAGTGAGTTGAGACTGTGCCACTGCACTGCAGCCTGGAGACTTAGCAACACTCCGTCTTAAAAAAAAAAAAAAAGGGCGGGAGTGATGGCTCAGGCCTGTAATCTCAGCACTTTGAGAGGCTGAGGTAGGTGGAGCCCGAGGTCAGGAGTCCCAGGAACTCTGGGGAGGAGAAGGAGGAGGCGCTCCCAACAGCACAGCTCTGTCCACCTCTGGGTCCACCCGTCCTTCCGGGCTCCGGCTCACCTCCATCCGTTCCTAGTTCCTGCCTTTTCTCTCTCTTGCTCTCTCTCTCTCTTTTTTTTTTTTTTTTCACACGGAATTTCGCTCTCTCGCCCAGGCTGGAGTGCAGTGGCGCGATCTCAGCTCACGGCAACCTCTGCCTCCGGGGTTCAAGCGATTCTCCTGCCTCAGCCTCCCGAGTAGCTGGGACTACAGGTGCCCACCACCACGTCCAGCTATTTTTTTTTTTAATTTTTATTTTTAGTAGAGACGGAGTTTCACCATGTTGGCCAGGCTGGTCTCAAACCTCTGACCTCAGGTGTTCTGCCCACCTCAGCCTCCCAAAGCGCTGGGATGACAGGTGTGAGCCATCGCGCCCGGCCATGCTGCCTTTTCTCTAGCATCCTCCCTGCGCCCTGAATTCCCACTTTCTGGGACCCGTGCCCCAGGATGTACAGACTCTCCCCCGTCCCGGATTTGTCCTCTGGAGCTGAGCTCTACGGGTGGGTCGTTGGGGGTCATATTGTTGACTTTCTTCTTAAATGTTGGAAATACATGCTCAGTGCCACACACACACACACACAAATCAGCCCTGAGACAGAGGATCTTTCAGCAACGCCATTGTTACCTCCTGGGCTGCAGGGAGGGGACCCTCGCCGGCCACCGAGCCCCGAGAGCGCAATGAACCAAGGAAAACACGCACACGGATCCCTGACGCGTGTGGGGTCGTCCTTCCTGCCGTGTCTGAGCTCCGTGGGCCGGAGCCAGACCTCAGCATCTAAACTCACACCCGACCGGCCGGCACCTGAAAACGTTTCTGAACAGGTGACAGCCACGGAGAGCGGGGACACGCCTGTGAGCACGTCCAGCGCGGGTGTCTCGGGGACAGTCCAGGGACACGGAATGTGCCACGTGCCTGTGAGCACGGCGGGTCTCACAGCTGCAGAGGACGGGGCCGCACGGAGTTATGAGCACACTTATTCTTGTTTTTTGTTTTGTTTTGTTTTAAGACGGAGTCTCACTCTGTTGCCTGGCTGGAGTAAAGGGCGTGATCCTGGCTCACTGCAACCTCCGACTCTCTGGTTCAAATGATTCTCCTGCCTCAGCCTCCTGAGTAGCTGGGATGACAGGCACGCGCCACCACGCCCAGCTAATTTTTGTATTTTTAGTAGAGACGGGGTTTCACCATGTTGACCAGGATGGTCTCGATCTCCTGACCTCATGATCCACCCGCCTCGGCCTCCCAAAGTGCTGGGAGGACAGGCTGAGCCATTGCGCCTGGCCAGCACACTGACTCCTTAACAAGAAAGGAAACTTTAAAAAGGAACTTTTCTCCTTCCCACGGTAAACATCCTAACTCCTCTTTGGATAGAAATCGATACCCATGGCGGCTTCCGGAGAACTGTGGTCCGTTCTGACGCGACTCCCGGTTCTCTCGGAGCTGGGTACATTTTGGTGGCTGACCTAGGCTTTCCCCATCCCTGGTCACTTCCTGCTCTGTGTCACATGCAACGCTGCCAGGCGCACGTGCATGGCGCGGCTATGCAAGGCTGCCAGGCGCACGTGCATGGCACACAGCTCTGTTCGTGGCAGGGGGTTCTCCACATCTGTGCTCTGGGCGCTTGCCCGAATCTTCGCCATCTTTTACAAGCCTGCTTCCTTCTGCACCGCAGGTCCGAGGGCGAGCGAGTGCAGTTCATGCAAGCTCTCCGAGAGCTCTGGAGTGTGGACGGGAGAAGCGTGCTGACCGCCTTCGACCTGTCCCTGTTCCCGCTCGTGTGCGACCTTGGCGGTAAGTGTCCTCCACGCAGAAGACCTCAGAGCTGTGTGTCTGTTTCTGTGTGGGCAGTGTGCTCACCGTGTCGGTTATTTTCTGCATTTTTTTTTTTTTTGACAATAACCCTTGCTTGGTTTCATTCAGTAGAAGTTTTCTTATTAAAAATTCAAAGTACGCTGTGTTTTCAGACCTTGCAACAGATGAGACGATCTTCATCCTTTCACAGACACAGGGAAAAGCCTTTTGGGATTCATTTATTTTACTGATTTAGGATATTGCTAAATCAAAAATTAATTTTGACTCTGTAACTATGTAATAGTTATCAAACACTCTCCTTAACTGGACAAAGGAGCAAATCAACTATGTTTTCCTTTATTGACAAGAAAAAAATGCCTAGAACTATATGATGATTGGAAGATTTTCCTGAATTTTTCTGAGACCGAGTTTTGCTCTTGTTGCCCAGGCTGGAGTGCAATGGTGCGATCTCGACTCACTACAACCTCCGTTTCCTGGGTTCAAGTAATTCCCCTGCCTCAGCCTCCAGAGTAGCTGGGATTACAGGCACACAGCATTAAACCTGGCTTTTTTTTTTTTTTTTTTTTTTTTGTATTTTTAGTACAGATGGAGTTTCATCGTGTTGGCCAGGCTGGTCTCGAACTCCTGAGCTTGTGGTCTGCCTGTCTCGGCCTCCCAAATTGCTGGGATTACAGGCGCTAACCACCACACCCGGCCTCTTTTTCTTTATTTATTTTTGCCTTTCAATGGAATCTCGCTCTGTCGCCCCGGCTAGAGTGCAGTGGCGCGTTTTCAGCTCACCGCAGCCTCCGCCTCTTGAGGCCAACCGGTTCTCCTGCCCCAGCCTCCCGAGTAGCTGGGATTCCAGGTGCCCGCCACCCCACCTGGGTAATCGTTGTAGTTTTTTTAATAGAGACGGGGTTTCGCCACATTGGCCAGGCTGCTCTCGAACTCCTGACCTCAAGTGACCAGCTCGCCTCGGCCTCATTTTTTTTTTTTTTGACACGGGGTCCTGTTTTGTCACCCAGGCTGGAGTGCAGTGGTGTGATGATAGCTCACTGCAGCCTTAAACTCCCAGGCTGGGCCCCCTCCCCACCTTCCCTCCCCTCCAGTCACCTCTGCTCCCCTGCCCTCCCCTCCTCTCCCCTCCCCTCCCCTTCTCTTCTCTTTTCTGTTCTTTTTTGAGACAGAGTCTCACTCCGTTGCCCAGGCTGGAGTGCAGTGGCTCGATCTCGGCTCACTGCAACCTCCACCTCCCAGGTTCAAGTGACTCTCCTGCCTCAGCCTCCCGAGCAGGTGGGATGACAGGCGCCCGCCACCACAGCCGGCTAACTTTTGTATTTTGTAGTAGAGACGGGGTTTCGCCATGTGGGCCAGGCTGCTGTCAAACCCCGACCTCAGCTGATCCGCCCGCCTGGGCCCCCCGGGGCGCTGGCATGATCGGTGTGAGCCCCTGCACCCTGCCTGAGCCTGCTTTTCAAATTCAAACCCCGCAACGCTGAGCTCACACCTTAAGTCCCTAGTCCAGTTACACTCTGGGCTGTGATCCACCTGCCCTGTGTGTGTCCTCTTGGTCCTCGGGTCCCTGGGAGCAGCTCCTGCTGGTGGAAGGCTCTTTGCAGGGTGGGTAATGATCATGAGTCACTGTGAGGAGAGGGAGATAGAGTTCAAGGTGCCCCTTGCCTGGGGACCAGCTTGCGAAGAAAATCACAGAGAAGGAGCCCGGGGCTGGAGGTGTCTGTGGTCCTCCGTGGACTTTGTGTACCCGGGGCTTGCCACGGCGTCCGTCACTTAGCTGCTGGCCGTGGTTGGCCGGACAGGCGCGCCAGCCACAAGATCACACGGTCACTCAGCGTCCACGTGGCGGCCTGGAGCAATGGGTCAGCGCAGCCAGGGAGACCCGCTGAGTTCAGGGGCCTGCAGACGGTCACGTCACCATCAACCCCACACGTGGCCGAAGGACCCGTGTCCCAGGTCGGATTCCTCACGGGCCCGTGGCGGATGGAGGGTGAGCAGCGTCTCACGGGCTCACCTCTGAGGCTCAGACACACCTTGTCCACTTGGCCGCAGGTGGGGCCGGGGCTCTGGCTGAGCAGTGCCTTTGTCTGTACCCCGGATGTCACGTCACCGTTTTCGACCTCCCAGAAGTGGTGAGGACAGCAAAGGAGCACGTCTCAGTCCCGGAGGAAGAGCACATCAGCTTCCAGGAAGGTGGGTTTGTGTCTCGGCGGCAAGCGCAGACGTGTCTGAAGACTTCTTTTATTTTTGTTTTTTTTTAACACAGTCTCTCTCTGTCGCCCAGGCTGCAGTACACTGCTGCAATCTCAGCTCACTGCAGCCTCCGCCTCCCGGGTTCCAGCGATCCTCCTGCCTCAGCCTCCCTAGGAGCCGGGATTACAGGCGCACGGCACCACGCCCCGGTAATGTTTTTGTATTTTTCGTACAGACAGGGTTTCTCCATGTTGGCCAGGATGGTCTCGAACTCTTGACCTTGCGATCTGCCCGCCTCATCCTCCCCAGTCAGCCAGGCTTTGCTGCAGGCACCTGGGGCCTCACAGGTGCCCGGGAGGCTGAGGCAGGACAATCGCTTGAACCCCGAAGGCGGAGGTTGCAGAGAGCTGAGATCACGCCACGGCACTCCAGCCCGGGCGGCAGAGCGAGACTCCGTCTAATAGAAAAAAAAAATAAAGAAAAAAAGTCATTTTGGCAGGGTGCGGTGGCTCACTCCTGTCATCCCAGCACTTTGGGAGGCTGAGGCAGGTGGGTCACCTGGGGTCAGGAGTTCGAGACCAGCCTGGCCAACATGGTGAAACTTCCATGTCTACTAAAAATACGAACATTAGCCGGGCGTGGTGGCGGGCGCCTGCAGTCCCAGCTCCTCGGGAGGCTGAGGCAGGAGGATCGCTTGAACCCGGGAGGCAGAGGTTGCAGTGAGCGGAGATCGCACCACTGCACTCCAGCCTGGGTGCCAGAGTGAGAGTCTGTCTCAAAAACATAAATAAATAAGCAAAAGTCGCTGTGCGTTATACAGCCGAGGCCGGCTTTCTGTACCTCCGTGGTTGGTGAATACAGGAATCCCTGTGGGACGGGCGTTGTGGTTGATTTCATTTTTGGTGTCCACGCTAAGCTGCTCATTTTTCCAGGGCGGTGCTCAAAGGGATCCTGAGTTTGTTTTTCCTGCTGGGTATCGTATAAGCCTTTCAGATGACCGTAGGATGATGACTGACTGACTTAGTGAACAGCTTTGATTTCAGATGCCAGCCTACTAACAGGCTTCCCCGAAGCAGCACCACCCACTCTCACGGGAATCTTCAGACTTTTTCTAGAACGATCCATATGGTACATGTTGTATCTTTTGCAGCCCCAGAGGCGGAACTGAGAAGAGTAGGTAGCTGCTTGTAGAAACGAGAGAAAACACATTTCTACCCCCCTTTTTTTTTGAGACAGGGTGTGATTCTGTCTCCCAGGCTGGAGGGCAGTGATATGACCATTAGCTCACAGCGGCCTCCATGTCCCAGGCTCAGAAGTGACCCTGTCACCTCAGCCTCATGCGTAGCTGGGATTACAGGCATGTGCCACCACACCTGGCTAAGTTTTCGTATTTCTGGTAGAGATGGAGTTTCATCACATTGACCAGGCTGGTCTCGAACTCCTGACCTCATGATTCACTTTGGGAGCGCTGTGATTGCAGGCGTGAACCACCGCGCCCAGCCAATAACATGATTTTTTAAAGAAGGAGGAAAGAGGCCATAAGTACCATTCTGTATTTTCTTTTTTAAAATATATTTTTAATTTATGTTTTATTTTTTGAGATGGAGTCTCACTGTGTTGCACAGGCTGGAGTGCAATGGCGCGATCTCGGCTCACTGCAATCTATGCCTGCTGGGTTCAAGCGATCCTCCTGCCTCAGCCTCCGGGGTAGCCGGGATTACAGGCGTCCACCACCAGGCCCAGCCAATTTTTGTGTTTTTGGTAGACACGAGGTTTCACCATGTTGGCCAGGCTGGTCTCAAACTGCTGACCACAGGTGATGTGCCCTCCTCGGCCTCCCGTGGGGGATTACAGGTGTGAGCCCCCATGCCCGGCCCGTAACATGATTTTTTAAAGAAGAAGGAGAGAAAGGACACACGTATCCTTCAGTTTTTCTGATTTTTCTTCTGAGCCTTTTTGTTTTTGAAGGCTGGCTCTGCAGGTCACTAGCCTGGAAGACCTGAGGGGGAAGGCATGACCCGTGCAGGTGACCTTTGGCACCTGGAATGGGTTTATTCACACGGGGTTGGATTATGGGCTGACGTTGGGGTGCCTGACATATGTTCCAGGGGATTTCTTTAAAGACCGTCTTCCGGAAGCAGACCTGTACATCCTGGCCAGGATCCTCCACGACTGGGCGGATGGAAGATGCTCACAGCTGCTGGAGAGGGTGTACCACTCCTGCAAGCCGGGTGAGCGGTGGGGCTGCATTTCAGCATGCGCTGTGACTCGGCGGAAGGGCAGGAGTGATGTGTAGAAGGCAGGCACTGAGTTCATCCCACAGGTCAGCGCAGACATCTTGCCCATGGATTGCTTTTTAGATGACAACCTACCGTAGATAGGCTCCTGATCTCTGTCTGTTGAGAGAACCACAGAAAGATGGAAGAAGTGAAACGATCTATGAAATGTCAGTGGTCTGACTTGGCTGAAATTCTTTCAGAATTCGGATAGTATTTGTGTGTGTGACGGGGACAGTGCCCCGTGTCCTGAGAGGTCCACCCATCTGATTGTCCATGAGGACGTGGGCACAGCCTCTGTGTGTGTGACGGGGACAGTAGCTGTGTGTCCTGTGAGGTCCATCCACCATGAAGGTCCATGGGGACATGGCGCAGCCTCTGTGTGTGTGACAGGGACAGTGCCCCGTGTCCTGTGAGGTCCACCCATCTGATTGTCCATGAGGACGTGGGCACAGCCTCTGTGTGTGTGACGGGGACAGTGCCCCATGTCCTGTGAGATCCACCCACCCTGATGGTCCATGAGGACATGGCGCAGCCTCTGTGTGTGTGACGGGGACAGTGCCCCGTGTCCTGTGAGGTCCATCCACCCTGATGGTCCATGAGGACATGGTGCAGCCTCTGTGTGTGTGACGGGGACAGTGCCCCGTGTCCTGTGAGGTCCATCCATCCTGATGGTCCATGAGGACATGGCGCAGCCTCTGTGTGTGTGACGGGGACAGTGCCCCGTGTCCTGTGAGGTCCACCCACCCTGATGGTCCATGAGGACATGGCGCAGCCTCTGTGTGTGTGACGGGGACAGTGCCCCGTGTCCTGTGAGGTCCATCCATCCTGAAGGTCCATGAGGACATGGCGCAGCCTCTGTGTGTGTGACGGGGACAGTGCCCCGTGTCCTGTGAGGTCCACCCACCCTGATTGTCCATGAGGACATGGCGCAGCCTCTGTGTGTGTGACGGGGGCAGTGCCCCGTGTCCTGTGAGATCCACCCACCCTGATGGTCCATGAGGACATGGCGCAGCCTCTGTGTGTGTGACGGGGACAGTGCCCCGTGTCCTGTGAGATCCACCCACCCTGATGGTCCATGAGGACATGGCGCAGCCTCTGTGTGTGTGACGGGGACAGTGCCCCGTGTCCTGTGAGATCCACCCACCCTGATGGTCCATGAGGACATGGCGCAGCCTCTCTGTGTGTGACGGGGACAGTGCCCCGTGTCCTGTGAGATCCACCCACCCTGATGGTCCATGAGGACATGGCGCAGCCTCTGTGTGTGTGACGGGGACAGTGCCCCGTGTCCTGTGAGATCCACCCACCCTGATGGTCCATGAGGACATGGCGCAGCCTCTGTGTGTGTGACGGGGACAGTGCCCCGTGTCCTGTGAGATCCACCCACCCTGATGGTCCATGAGGACATGGCGCAGCCTCTGTGTGTGTGACGGGGACAGTACCCCGTGTCCTGTGAGATCCACCCACCCTGATGGTCCATGAGGACATGGCGCAGCCTCTGTGTGTGTGACGGGGACAGTGCCCCGTGTCCTGTGAGGTCCACCCATCTGATTGTCCATGAGGACATGGCGCAGCCTGTGTGTGTGACGGGGACAGTGCCTCACTGAGTTCTGAGATCCACCCATCCTGATGGTCCACGATGTGCAAAGAAAGAGGCTTTCTGTCTCTCTCTCTCTGCCTCAGACAGTCGTATCCGCGTCTCCCGTGTGGGACCCTCCCTATGGCTGACAGACCGTAAGGATGGCCAGACCTCAGAGGAAGGTGGGGCGCTGTCCCTGTCACACACTCAGAGGCTGTGCTCCGGTCTTCATGGAATATCAGAATGGATGGACCTGACAGAATAGACAGCACAGACACTGTCCCCATCACACGCACAGAGGCTGTGCCCACGTCCTCATGGACCATGAAGATGGGTGGACCTCAGATGTCACTGGGGCTCTGTCCCCACACACACACAGAGGCTGTGCCCACGTCCTAATGAACCAACAAGATGGGTGGACATCTGAAGTCACTGGGGCTCTGTCCCCACACACACACAGAGGCTGTGCCCACGTCCTAATGAACCAACAAGATGGGTGGACATCTGAAGTCACTGGGGCTCTGTCCCCACACACGCACAGAGGCTGTGCCCACGTCCTCATGGACCATGAAGATGGGTGGACCTCAGATGTCACTGGGGCTCTGTCCCCATCACACACACAGAGACTGTGCCATGTCCTCATGGACCATCAACGTGGGTAGACCTCAGATGTCCCTGGGGCACTGTTCTCATCACACACAACTTGCCGTGTGTTTGTGTGTGATGTGGACTGTGCCCCTCCGTTTCTAGGTGGTGGCATTCTCGTCATCGAAAGCCTCCTGGATGAAGACAGGCGAGGCCCTCTGCTCACACAGCTCTACTCTCTGAACATGCTTGTGCAGACGGAGGGCCAGGAGAGGACCCCCAGCCATTACCGTGCACTCCTCTCTTCTGCTGGCTTCAGAGACTTCCAGTTTAAGAAAACGGGGCTCATTTACGATGCCATTTTAGCCAGGAAATAACTTTCCTTGTGACCTGGAATGACCATCTGCTGGGAAAAGGCCTTGACGTGTGTGTGATGGATTGCATATTGTGTACTGAGAAATGATGTCAGGGAACGCTGCATGTCCCCAGGCAGAAAACTGCTCGGGGCGTCCTAGGACAGTGAACTGTATGTACCAGTCAGGCACTTGTTCAGCTAACTCCCAGCACTCAGGATACATGGTCTTGTCCCCATTGCTGACTGGCGAAGAGTGCTTTCTAGCTGATTTCCATGTGACTAGTGAACAGGTACTATTTGCCTACTGAGTCCTTGTTCTGTGAAGAAACACTGAGCACCTGCTTATTAAAGACGATGACTTGTTCACGAAGAATCAGTGCATGCGTCAGAGTCTGCTCTGGAGTGTCAGCTGCGAAATGCTGTCAGTCCCCTGACGTCCCACCCTGATTCCCACTTCTGCTGTGTATGTTCGTGTGTTTCTTAATCCCTTCAGTGCCGCCTGGGTTGGAGTCTCCACGACCGAGCAGGGCTCGGAAACCGTTGACGTGGACAAGCCATAATAATAAAGAGATGTGTCTCCACTGCCTTCTTCTTGTTGGTGTTGACATGACGAGTGACAGGAGGTTTCTATGGACAGGGTGTGACTGCCTCTGCTTTGTAGGTATTTTCTTGGGCTTCCGTCAGGACCACAGTCATGGGGGTGGGGGGGTGAGTTCCGCACTGGCATTGACTGTAGGCAAAGTTTTGGTCTTCTTGCTGTAAGGAGGGGCTCCTGTGTTCGCCTTGGTGGATGTCTGTTCGAAGCTTCACACTGAAGCCGGCCAGGGTGACTCATGCCTGTAATTCCAGCACTCTGGGAGGCCGAGGCAGGTGGCACACGAGGTCAGGAGTTCGAGACCAACCTGAGTAACAGGGTGAAACCCCATGTGTCCTAAAAATACAAAAATTAGCCGGGCGTGGTGGCACATGCCTACTCAGGACGCTGAGGCAGGAGAATCACTTGAACCTGGGAGGCCGTGGTTTCGGTGAGCCAAGATCGTGCCATTGCACGCCAGCCTGGGCAACAAGAGTGAGACTCCGTCTCAAAAAAAAAAAAAAAAAAAAAGCAGCAGCTTCACCCTGCACAACCGAACTTTGGCACCAGTCAGTGCTGGATGTGGTAACCATGGGTATCCATGAAGCATAAGCCTCTCCTTTCATGGCTGCCTTGTACAGCTCTGTGACTTATTACTGATGCCATTTCTTCTTTCTTTTTACAGACAGAGTCTTGCTCTGTTGCCCAGGCTCGAGTGCAGTGGCACGATTTTGGCTCACTGCAACCTCGGCTTTCTGAGTTCAAGCAATTCTCCTGCCTCGGCCTCCTGAGCAGCTGGGACTACAGGTGCATACCAGCATGCCCGGCCATTTTTTCGTATTTTTAGTAGAGACGGGTGTCAGTGTTGGCCAGGATGGTCTCGATGTCCTGACCTCATGATCCGCTTGCCTTGGCCTCCCAAAGTGCTGGGATTACCGGCACGAGCCACCGTGCCCAGCATAGTGATGACATTTCAAATGTGACAAGACATGTATATGTGACTATAGCATGTGTGGCATGTATGGCGTATATGTAACGCATGACACATAACATGCATGGCATGTATATGCTATATGTGACGCATACCATGCATCCTATATGTAACATAACATGTATGGCATGTATGAGTCACACATGACACATGCCACACACAAATAACATGTATAGCATGCATGTATATGTAAAGAATAACATTCGTGTATGTATATGTGACACGAAACGTACATGTCATGCCACACACAACACATGCATGTCATGCATGTTGTGTGCCACAAATAACATGTCATGCGTATCACATGTGACATACATGCCATATGTTGCCTATGACAGCAAATAACATACATACCACGCATGCTATCCTACACATACATGTCATACATGCTGTCACACATAACATGCATGCTGTCACATGCCACATATACGTCATCTATGCCACACATCTTGTCACACACGTCATACATGTCGCACGACACACGACATGCATGTGTGACATACATGTTGCATGCCACATATAGCATATGCATGCCATACATGCTACACGTTATGTCACAGATACATGCCATAATGCATGTTACATATAAAGCATGTCATACATGTCATCTATCACATATACACGCTATACATCACATATGACGTCATATGGGCCATGTGTGACATATGACATGTTTGACATGTACTTTGTATGCGACATAACATGTATGACATGTATGTGACATGTGACCATGTGTATAGTATGCATATGCTATATGTGACATATAACATGTATGACGTGTCATGTGACAAGATGTATGAAATGTATACATTATGTGTGACATATAACATGTATGACTGTTTATATGTTATACATGTATCTGTTATACATTTATTTATGTAGAAATGTATAAAATATGTAAAATATATAATATATTGTATATAAAATAAACATAAAATATGAAATATGTATTATGTAGACATAATTTTTTATTAGACAGAGTTTAGCTCTGTCAGCCGGGCTGGAGAGCAGTGGTGTGACCTCCATTCACTGTAACCTCTGCCTCCTGGGTTCAAGCAATTCTCTTGCCTTAGTTTCCCTAGTAGCTGGGATTACAGGCAGCCACCACCATGCCTGGCTATGTTATTTTGTATTTTTAGTAGAAACAGTGTTTCACGATGTCGGTCAGGCTGGACTTGAACTCCCGACTTCAACCTCCCAAAGTGCTGGGATTACAGGCATGAACCATCACACCCATCCAACTGCAGTATTTTAATAATGAAAGTGTATGTATGCATACAGATATAGATATGGTTTCCAACTTACGATGGTTTGATGTACAACTTTTCAACTTTATGAGCAGTTTATCAAGATAGTCAATGCTTTTTTTTTTTTTTTTTTTTTTTTTTCTGATGGAGTTTCGCTCTTGTAGCCTAGGCTGGAGTGCAACGGCCCCATCTCAGCTCACTGCAACCTCCACCTCCCGGGTTCAAGTGATTCTCCTGCGTCAGCTTCCTGAGTAGCTGAGATTACAGACATCCACCACCACGCCCGGCTGATTTTATATTTTTGCCAGAGTTTCTCTATGTTGGTCAGGCTGGTCTTGAACTCCTAGCCTCAGGTAATCTGCCTGCCTCAGCTTCCCAACGTGCTGGGATTACAGGCGTGAGCCATGGTGCCCGGCCAACTGCAATAGTTTAATAATGAAAGCATCTGTATACATACATAGATACAGCTGGTTTCCAGGTTACGATGGTTGGATTTACAAATTTTCAACTTTAAGATCAGTTTATCAAGATAGTCAACTGATATTGTATTATTTTATTTTATTTTGCTTTACGTTCTGGGATACCTGTGCTGAACGTGCAGGTTTGTGACATAGGTATCCATGTGCCATGCTATAATTTTGTATTTGTAGTAGAGACAGGGTTTCTCTATGTTGGTCAGGCTGGTCTCGAACTCCCGACCTCAGGCGATCTGCCCCCCTCGGCCTCCCAAAGTGCTGGGATGACAGACGTGAGCCACCCACCGCGCCCGGCTAGGGAACGCGTTTTAAGTTAGGATGTTTTGTGCCATGATGGCGTTATGGGGCTGTAACCCCACTGGGAGTCAATGACCATCCCTCTGCGCGTGTGTGTACGTTACCCAGCCCCTAAAAATATCGTAACCACGGTGATGATCCCTAACGTGGCTCAGGCTCAGGCCTGCAGCCTGCCTGGGCTTGCATGCTCTGTGCACACAGATGTGAGATCTGGGCAACGCGGCTCCATCAGGGATCCCTCCTGTTGCCACGGCAACCGGTGACCCATTTGGGAAGAGCCTCCACCTGCCAGGACGTGGTGCCGTGGGTCGGCTGATGGAACCCGGCTCCGTCAGACGCCCCTTATGAGAGGTGGAGTCACCCCCCTTATGACAGGTGACCAGGAACGGAGGAAAAGTAACCCCCACCCCGACTTATTACTGTTCCCTTATTTATTTGTTTGTTTGTTTATTTACTTATTTATTTTTGAGATGGAGTCTCGCTCTGTCACCCAGGCTGGAGTGCAGTGGTGTGATCTCGGTTCACTGCAACCTCCGCCTCCCGGGTTCAAGCGATTCTCCTGCCTCAGCCTCCCGAATAGTTGGGATTCCAGGTGCCTGCCACCATGCCCGGCTACATTTTTGTATTTTTAGTAGAGACGGGGTTTCATCATGTTGCTCAGGCTGGTCTCGAACTCCTGACCTTGTGATCTACCCGCCTCGGCCTCCCAAAGTGTGCTTTGCCCTTTTAAAAGTTGGGTTTCACTAAAACAATCACAAGTCCAAAACCACCTTTTTATCATTTTACCCCGTCAAGGGCAGACACAGTGAAACATCAGAGGCTGGCGTGGGGAGGTGCCTCACGCCTGTAATCCCAGCATTTTGGGAGGCCGAGGTGGGAGCATCATCTGAGGTCGGGAGTTCAAGACCAGCCTGACCAACACGGAGAAACCCTGTCTCTACTAAAAAATAGAAATTTAGCTGGATGTGGTGGTACATGCCTGTAATCCTAGCTACTCAGCAGGAGGCTGAGGCAGGAGGATCGCTTGAACCTGAGAGGTGGAGGTTGCAGTCAGCCGAGATCGTGCCATTGCACTCCAGCCTGGGTGACAGAGTGAGACTCGGTCTGAAAACAACCAACCAACCAACGAACCATCTCCTGTCCGAAAATAACTTTTCATCATTTTCCTCCATCAAGGGCAGACACATTAAATCATCAGAGGCTGGCCGGGTACAGTGGCTCATGCCTGTAAACCCAGCATTCTGGGAGATCCAGGCGTGTGGATCACTTGAGGTCAGGAGTTCAAGACTAGCCTGGCCAACATTGTGAAACCGCATCTCTACTAAAAAACAGAAAAGGAGTCGGGCGTGACGGTGGGTGCCAGTAATCCCAGCTAGTTGTGAGGCTGAGACAGGAGAGTCGCTTGAATCTGGGAGGCGGAGGCTGCCGTGAGCTGAG